TTGGTACTGAATTGTGTTCCCAGAAGGGAGAGTTACTATGTCAGAGTGAAATTGTTATTGGACATTTTAAGGATGGGAAGAGGGAAGGAGAAGAAGACAGGGCGGTCTTAGGGGAGACCCTAAAAGTAGAAGCAGTTCTCTTCCCCCTTCCTATCCCCTCTCATCCCCCCAACTCCTCCTATTTATTGGGGGCTTAGAAAGTGCCAGGCACTGTGCTATCTTTGTATAAATATTCTTATTTAATCTTTAATCCTATAAGACGGTTACTATTATGGTCCCATTTTATAGCCTTGTCCATTTGTCAGGCAATGAAGTCATCCCCTGAAACGGAGCAAAGTGGTGAAACATAAAGTTGATTATGAGATCGGTGCAGATTATAAGGATCCTAGAGCTGAGTCTGAATGAGTGCTTCAGAATTTTAACCTGTGGACAACTGGCCGAGCACAGTGGAATTTTCGGAGGCTCATGTAGGCAGGAGAGTGCCGGCTGGCTGGAGTCGGGTTGGGAGGTGGAGAGAGGAGATTATAAGGGGACGAATGTTGGGGGCTAGTTCAGTAGCGCACTTTGCATACTAAAGTCCTCTACTGGAGTGGAACCAGCAGCAAGAGAAAGGTGAGGCTGGTGTGAGATTTCAAAGCTAGAAAGGTCAGGCCTTGGTGACTGTGAAGATGTGAAAGGCAAAAGAGAGGATGTCAGAAGGAAAGTTTCAAGCCTGGGGACAGACGACTCCCTCCCTGCTCTTTCCTGCATCTGTCCTTCCTGCACCACTCTCCTAACTCACTGGGTGACCACCTCCTGTCCTTCAAGACTCTATTCAAAGTTTCTTAGCCAGGCCTTTCCTGCCACTCCTCTCTCTTCCTCTTCCCACCCTGGGAGGTGGCCCTTCCTTCCTATTTCAGCTTTCTATTAAAGGTGTACTTCCACTATACTAGTGTGATTCTTTTATTCCCTACCCCCCAACTCTCCTTTCTTCTTTGCTCTTTTCTTTAAAAAAATTTTTTTTGTTTTTACATATATACTTAGCATGACATTAAGCTTTTTTGGCTGCAGGAACTGTGATTTCTTTAGGATTTTATTGCTGTTACTTAACACTATGTCTGACATCTATTATATGCTGGATAAGTGAATAAATAAATGGGAAATCATGGTGCTAGTGCCAGAAATAGGTATAAATAAACAAAGCTCACAGCAACACAGAATGGAAGTCAACTGTAATTGATTTGTCAAGTGGTGTTCCTCCTTTTTGCATTTTTACAAAAGATTCTACATGGCTTTCAGTATATTTCACCTATGAGCACTCCACTGAATAATAGTCAACTCCACAAACTGTGTATTTTGAGACAATAAGAACCAAGAAAAAGAAAATCACCAAAATAATGTGACACTGTAATATTATTGATGGGTTCTTCTATTCCCTAGGTTAACTTCCATTTCTTTTGACAATAAAGTTTACCACTTGTCGTTCAAATTTCTGCTGGATAAAGGTTCCGACGAAGTATAAAATGCCCAAATATTGGCCAGTAGAAGGAGGGAAAGGAAACACTTTCCAGAATGAGTCATTTGCTTCATGGGGTTGAATGTAATAAAGTCCTAGGGAATCACTGCCGGTTCTGGAAAGCAGACAAAATGGGATTGCTCAGAGCATGGAATTTAAGAGAGAAACTGTGGAACGAAGGTGTAACAAAATTCATTAATTTCGATCTAGACTGAGAATTTTTATAGGAGGAAAGAAATGCCATTAAAAACAACTTGCCACCTTGTCTCAAATCCAGCATTATGTGCTGAAAAGTTATGGCGCTGTGGTCATTAGCTGGCAGGCGAGGTTTCCCAGCAGGTTCGTCTGGTGGCAGGAAAATCACACAGCCATAATTGCAGCATTTTTAGCCATCTCTTGAAGGAGATTCTCATTCTCGGCTCTGTGTTGAGTTATTCGTCTCTCTCTAATAATGCAGGAAGCTTACCATGTGCTTAGTAATTTTTAAGCTCCTGGGACCAGGCTGGAATTGATTTCATTTGCAGTTTGCCCAGTGACAAGCACCCTTTTGAAGAAAAATACAGTCACGTGCTGCGTAACAATGTTTTGGTCAATAACGGACTGCATAATGCAATGGTGGTCCAATGGGATTAGTACCATAAAACCTGGGTGTATAGTAGGCTATACCGTCTAGGTTTGTGCAAGATACATTCTGATTGTCACACAAGGACAAAATTGCCCAACAACACATTTCCTAGAATGTATCCCCTTCGTTAAGTGACACATGAGTGTATTCACTATAATTTTTATTAGTTCATGACCGATTATAAATCAAAGTTATGAAAAGCGTTTAAGCAGCTTTCCCCAATCCCTGGGATTCATAGCTCTCGGAGTTATCATTTGAACAAAGGTGGTAGCTGGACCCCAGTGCTACTCTGGGATGGTGGGCTTATGGAAACTTAGCCTTTCTCTTCCATCTCTCTTTAAAATGTGATCTTGTTATAAGACAAGAGAGAGAAGACTTTTCAGTTTAAATCCCTTCTTTTCCCTTAGGTAGGGCTCTGAATTTTAGATTTCAGGGATGAATAGGTAACCCCAGTGAGTGATTTGAGACTACAGTACATAAAAATGTGTCAATAGTTCAGGATGACTGATAGCTCATCTTGTAACCAAAGCCACCTGCAATTTTTTATAGTCCTGCAGCATGAGCCATCTTGAACAGATAATCAATTCTATTGCACAAACAGTCACTTCTGTTCACCAAGAAGGCCTGCTTTCTCTCGCCAAGCAGGACTATAAAAAAATCCAAATTATCAAAGCTTCTGAAATACTGGGAGCATTTGTAAAACTAGCCTTTTGCATCTCCTCTCTATACCTTGCCGCTCTCATCTGTTACGAGTTAAAGAGCAGTGAGACCATTTATGCTGCTATAACACTAATCTGTGTTATAGTGAGAACTTCAATGACATGTTCATATGCATATATGCAGACACACACTCATGCGCACGAATATTTTAGTAAAAAAGTATCATTTCTTACCAAGTTTTTGCCTAGAATATTTGTTTTCTTTTTTTTTTGTGAGAAGGATTGACCCTGAGCAAACGTCCATCGCCAGTCTTCCTCTTTTTGCTTGAGGAAGATTGTCACTGAGCTAACATCTGTGCCAATCTTCCTCTATTTAATGTGGGATGCTGCCACAGCGTGGCTTGACGAGCTATGCTAGGTCTGCACCTGGGATCCAAACCTGTGAACCCCACACTGCCAAAGCAGACCACATGAACCCAACACTATGCCACCTGGCTGGCCCCCCAGAATTTTGATCTTTAAATAAATTTTCTCCTAATCCTTTATTTTTCTTTTCAAGTATCATATTGCATTGCCGTAACAGCCTATCGACAGCAAGAATTCATTTTTCCTCAGCTACTTTCTGCATTGCATTGAATTAAAAATTGTTAGTTTGAATTTGAAATCTGAATTTCATGAGATAGTCACTAAAAATATCCTTGCGAATTAAAGTTTTTGATTAAAGCAGGTGATGTACAGATAAACAGTTCATATATTTTTCCTCGTCCCTTGAAACGCCATTATACTGCAGAATTCGTGGCACTAGGTTTCTTACTCGCTTCTTCAATGCGGTATACACAATGTCATATTTGCCATGAAATAGTTAACAGTATTCAAATAGAAATTAAGTCATTCGGTTATTCCACAAATATCCGTTGAGCTTTGAATAGGTGACAGGCCCTGGCTTTAGGTGTTAGGGCTGAGGATGCAGTGTTGAACCGGATGGTTCAGGTCCCATCCCCAGGAGCTGACATTTAAAAATTTAGGTCATCACTTAGGTCTAATGGCTCCACGTCTAAAATTCTCTTTGTAGTAGTTGGGCCACTAAAATAATGACTTTAAAGGAACCCCTAAAATCTTAGGATTTCACAAAGAAGGGAAAAAATCAGTAATGAATGATTCTGGCTTTTTAGTCATAAAAGAATATTTTCCTTTCTGAATTTCAACTTGAGACATGGTTGTTAGTGGTTAAACCCAGGCACTTTCGTAGTGGAGAACAAAGTCAAATCCAATGGGTCGTATCCTGTCCAGTTTGTAGCAGAGCTTAGAAACCATAAAGAACTCTCTTATTTAGAATTCTCTGACAAATTCCAGGTTGAAAGTCAGCTTGGGGGCACAGTTTTTTTTCCTTCATATTATCTGGCCCCTAAAAGGACCCTTCGATGACCTAGCTAACTGCTGTCACATTCTGAACTCAAGTCACCGTTTTCAGGTGCCATGATAGACTAATTGTGCTTCAGTTTCCTGGTCCCTGCTGCCTTTTCAGTGCATCTGTAAGGTCAAATTGATTAATAATACTAAGATATTATTTGGCTTTTTCATCCTCTGTCTCTCGCAATTGCATAGTTAAGTTTTTCAGTGTACGTTTGGAACCTCTGCATAACTCAGTGAATCAATATTTCCTATCTGATCGATGATTGCTGTTACAAACGGTGCAGGGGTAAAGATCACGTGCTAAATCAGAGGATTTTAACAGGGCATGAAAAGTTCACTGATAGGGGTTCAGATTCCTATAGAAACCACCAGTTGTTAAGTTTTGGTGTAGTATCAGGGAAATAATATCCAAAATTATCTGAAAAGGCTGTTACATTATTCCTCTGTTTTCCAACTACATATCTGTGTGAGAATGGGTTTTCTTATATACTTCAACCAAAATAAGATATTGCAACAGATTGAATGGAATAGATAGGAGACTCCAGCTGTCTTCTGTTAAACTAGACATGAAAAATTTGGCAACAATGTAAAACAATGCCATTATTCTTGCTACATTTTTGGGGAAAATCTGATTGTTTATAAAAATTTATCATTTACGTTAACGGTACTGGGTGTTTTGATTGTTTTAGTGAATTAATAAATATTAAACATTAGTTTTTGTTTGTAACATGGTGAATATTGATAGATATAACCTACATAAGAGAAAGCTCTTTAGAGTCCTTGGTCTTTTTTTTTGTGAGGAAGATTGGCCCTGAGCTAACATCTCTGCCAGTCTTCCTCTATTTTGTGTGTGGGAAGCCGCCACAGCACAGCTTCCTGAGTGGTTTGTAGGTCTGGGCCTGGGATCTGCACCTGCGAACGCTTGCCCTCTGAAGCCGAGTGCATGAACTTAACCACTACACCACTGGGCCGGCCCCCTCCGTCATTTTTAAGATTCAAAAGGGGTCTTGATATTAACCAATTTAAGAGCCACTGATCTAAAGGAATGAGTTAGCAACTCAAGTGTAGAGTGAGAATTTGTAGCAGTTACATTCCCTGGGATCCAGGATCTGCTCCTAGTTCTCATTTTGAAGCAGTGTCAGGACGTTTAGATAGTCTCCTGAATGGTTTGGGGCTTTCCATTCTGTGTGTGATTACAGAGGTTGAAGACAGAAAGCCTGTACAGTAATTTAGTCAATAGAGTTCATTTTTAATCTCCAATCTCTTGTGTCCCAAAGTCATGAAATCCTCTAGGACCACTTAAGAGTTTCAGACTACAGCTACTGAAGATGGAGCATTTTACGAGGGCTTCGTGACATTTATTCTTGGAGATGCAGCTCGCAGCTCCGCATGCTAAAAGAAAATCAAAACTGCGTGTCTGAAACATCTCCATCATCCATTTGGAAGTGAAGAATTCTGCCTGCTCTCCTTCCATCCTTGCAGGAAGCTACACCCAGCTCGCTGCTCAGTCTGGACTTGTTCTCAAGGTCACCTATGTAATTTTTTTCAAAGCCTCACTGTCCTTAGTATTCTCAGAGATAATAGCACCGGGCCCATCAGTCATCATTTCCTCATCCTCAATTTTCCTTTTCGCTTCCTGCAATTTTAATCCCAAGCCCCTGCAATTCCTTTCCATGGAGGCTTAAGTGGCCCCATTTACAGCCAATTTTCGGCTAATATTTGATGCATTCTTTTAAAATAAACCAAATAGTCCTCACTCTGCAGGCTTTGTACCGTTGGACTTAATAAAATCAAAGACTTGATAGTGGGCTTTAAACTGATGTGTTTTTTTTGTTTGTTTGTTTCATGATTTTTAAAGAAAAATAGAGACCTTTAGAAATAGGAGGTAGATATTTGTTCCTGATGGGTCAATTTCAGAATCTGGGGCTGTCATTAATAAAGGGAAAGAAATCGCTCTTTCATCTGTGTTGCGCGTTGCACCAATTCTTATAGAGGAGAGAGAGGGGAGGGGAGATGGGTAAAGAAACCATAGATTTTTCTGGGGGCTGTTTCCTTCTAACCTTCTTTGGGGATGCCTTATCTCTGGCCCCTTCTGTAAGCTGATCCAGCTCATGTCGGCCTGACACATGAACCATGCAAAGCTTCTTTTTAAAGAGATTTTAATTCCTGCTTGACAGGCTAGGCTGAAGCCCATGAGTGACAATAGATGTTTTTTTTTTTTTTAAACAAGAGTGAAAGCCACAGTGCACCTGGTTTTCCATAACACAAGACATACTTTTTTTTTTCTAGAAAAGAAAAAAAAAAAAACCAGTTTAAAAAAAGCTAAATCTTAAGTAATAAGACAGCTGAGTTTGCTAGGCGTCATGTCTTAAGAAAAGAGTGCCACCATTTTTGGCCTGCCTGAAGGCTGTTTTTGTCCCTAATCTGTTTTAAATCTTTTAAGGGTTTTATCATTTTTTTCCGCCTTTCCATAAAATTAACTCATTTCTTTAATATATTTTTTATCCTAGTCTGAAATTTCATCCTTAATTATCCCCCACGTGGAGAAGTATCAAAGTATCACGTATCATAAGATAAATGACGTTTTTGGACCCAAGATATTTGGGTAAACTGACCATGTCCAATGTCTTGAGGGGAAAAGCTAGAAACTGGGATCATCCTTAAGGATTGCATGAGTCCAAATCTAGAAAAACAGTGAAATGATTTAGGAGTTGCCTGAATGTCGTCTTTGCAGATATAAAATGAGCTCCGTTTTATTTATGACCATAGCAAATTTCAAACAGCTTTCATTTCCCCTGGTATTATGCATTGCAAGCCGTGGTAAGGTCTGAAAGTAATAATGAAAGCTCTGATAATGGACTTAGTGCTGGCGGCGCCATGACAAGGCTGGTGACGAGAGGGGAGCTGTCATCTATTAACTGAACACTGGGTGCCAGGCCTCCTCTTCAGGACTCTACGTACTTTTTTCTCTAATTTGCATATCAGCTCTCAGAACTGGTTGTTGTCATCTCTGTTTTACAGATGACAAACAGGAGAAACTAGGACACCAAAAGTTGGAATGACCTGCTTCATATGATGCTCGTGTAAGCTTGGTGCCAGAGCTGGTACCATGTTGCACAAAGTTGGTTTAATCAGCTTTTTGACGGCACCTCCCTATTTACATCAAGGGAAGAAGAGCCACTTTAACTGTATAGCACAGCCCCATTTACATAATATTTTCACAGCACTATCTTGAGCCTTGCAGTATACTTATGAGGTAGGTGGTCTTATTATCCCCGTTCTGCATTTCTTCCTATCCGTGATACTGTGGTGATTGATGCTAATTATGATGACTGGGAGGAATTGTAGAATACTAAAGTAAGGAACGGTTTCTGGTTACGTGAACTATGTTTATAGCATTTGAGTAAGTGTTTTATTAATGTTCCTGTGGAAGAGATTGTTCTCTTCTCGTTATTTAAAATAGAGTTGTGAGCCTGGCCCCGTGGCCGAGTGGTTAAGTTTGTGTGCTCTGCTTTGGTGGCCCAGGGTTTCGCTGGTTTGGATTCTGGGCGTGGACCTACTACCGCTCGTCAAGCCATGCTGAGGTGGCGTCCCACACAGCAGAACCAGAAGGACCTACACTAGAATATACAACTATATACTGGGGGGCCTTAGGGAGAAGAAGGAAAAAACAAAATAGACTTGCTACGTTCGTGGGTATAAGTTTTTCTCAGGGCTGGCAGCACTGGCTGTTTCTCAGTGGACATGTTTTCAAACTGTATGTTAGTTTCTTGGAAAACATTTCAAAAGTAGCTTACCGTGCAGGAAAGTCAGGAACCGAAGGGTGAGACTGTGCTTTGCTACTAATTAGTTCTGTGACTTTGAGCAAGGCCTGTGACCTTTCTGGGCCCCACTTTCCCCATCTTAACTATATAAGGGGTTGGGGTGTTCAGTAAAGATTTCCTAGAATTTCTTTTATGTGTTTTGAAAAAGTTAGTGACAGCTGGTTCTTGAAATTTTTATTACTCAGTAATATAATACTTATTATATGTCAGTTATTTTCATTGTAAATATGCAAACAATTGTGTGACTTACACACATTGAAAAACAGATGGGGGGCCATTGGAGGACAACGTTGAACTTCATTATCTGCTATGTCTAGGGGATGAGGGGCTGTGTTGATGTATTTAGTGTTAGGGCCTGGATTGTGTTTTTATCATGTGTGGATTATCAAAGCTCAAAATTTGGTCTTGCTTGCTTGCCTGCGTCCTTCCTTCCTTAATAATTTAGTCAAAAAGCCATTAAGTGAGACTGCGCAGGGATGTCCAACAGGCAAGTATATTGAAGATAATGGGAGACAGACTCTTATGTCAGAGGAGAAAGCTACAAATATAAAAAAGGAAAGCTAGGGAATGAGTCCTGTGCTGTAGGTTGGAATTTGAGTTATCAGTGTGAACTCACAGATTTCAATATGTAGAAATTACATATGTAGAAATAAATATAATGTAAAGTATATGCATATATATGAATATGTACATATACATACGTACACACATGCACAACACACCCATTTCCTAACCTTGCTCACTGAGAGGGCCACGATACTGTGACAGCCAAGTGAATATGAGCACGCGTATTGTCCAGATCTTAGTTTCTAAATACCAGTCTTTGCTAAAAGGAACCAGAGATCTTTGAAAAAATGTCTGATTCTAGGGCTAGGGCAGGGAAGGTACCAAATTAGTGCCTTTTATTTTTGAGGAAGATTAGCCCTGAGCTAATATCTGCCACCAATCCTCCTCTTTTTGCTGAGGAAGACTGGCTCTGAGCTAACATCCGTGCCCATCTTCCTCTACTTTATATGTGGGATGCCTGCCACAGCATGGCTTGACAAATGACGCCTGGGTCCGCACCCGGGATCCGAACCAGTGAATCCCAGGCCACCAAAGCAGAAAATGCAAACTTAACCGCTGCGCCACCAGGCTGGCCCCTCAAATGAGCTTTGAATATCTTGTTGTGCCAGAAAATACAGAAGTTCTCAAAGCATGTTGGGAAGATACCAGAAGAACACAGCAGCCAGCTTGAAAGGATCCCATTAGGCAAACCTAGGACAACTTGAGCATCAAGATAATAATGAGAGTTACTGATTATATCCCACTGAACAACCTAGGGATTCACAGGTTCATACTGATATAAATAAGTGCGTAAGTGGGGAGAAGAGAAAGGTCTTCCTTAAAATAGAATGCTGTCTGATAAATAGAAAAAAGGCTAAGATTAGAAAGATGGCAGTTTGGCAATTGTGCTAAGAATTCAGGTAAGAAACATCAATGGATGTTAAAAGTAGTGAGTGAAAGTTGGATGAGGATCAGGATATTTAGATCACCTCGACATATCTGTCCACAAATCCTTATTAATTATAAAGGGCAGAACTGAACTCTCCTGGAGAGACTTGAAGGTTTGACCTTTCTCAAGTGATCAAAGTTACCATCACCATTGATGGCACAAACTCACATCACCTGTCACTTGATGGGATGCAGTGAGAACACAGCATCATTTCCCAAAAATGTAACCCTTGAATCTTCCCATGAGAAAACCTCACTAATCCCAGTTTAGGGGCATTCTACAAAATAATTAACCAGCCATCTTTAATAATTGAAGGGTGATGAAGGTCAAAGAGGAGCTGGGTACCGCTCCAGACTGCAGGAGACCGAAGAGAGGGGACAGCTCAGTACAAAGTGTGATCCTGGAATGGGTTCTTTGGCTAGAAAGAACGTTATTGGGGCAGTTGGCCCAATGTGAATGGGGTTTCTTGGTGAAGGGTATATAGGAGTTCCTTCAACAGTTCAGACTTTTCTTCTGCTTTGAAATGTTTTTGATATAAAGATTAAAAGAAATTATTAATACAGAAATGCTTAGCGTATAGTTTTTACTTTGTTGTACAAAGTTAAAAGGAATAGTTTCTGAATTCTATTTTATTTGTGATTTGCCTAAGAATCTTAGAGGCTATCATCATTTTGATCAGACTTTTAGTTTTGAATTTTTGTGAAGTTGTATGGAGAAGAATATAGTTTCACGAAATCAGGCCTTTTCTGGACACGTGGTAAGGTTTATGTACCTGCACAAATTCACTCAAATTTGACTGAGAGGAGAATCAGAAACTTAGAGTTTCTTAGAGTCAACACTATGAATATCATGATGATGGTGAGGCGTTTTAGATTAACGGGATTATGAGTGGGTGTTCTAGAGTCAGACTGCCTCGGCTTAAATCCCACCTCTGCCACTTACCGGCTGTGTGACATTAAGCAAATGAACTAACCTCTCTGTTTCTCGTCCTGTCAGTAACTTAGCTAGTAATGTACCTATGTTATGGAGTTATTGTGACGACTGTGTGATTAGTACCAGTGAAGTGCTTAGGAGGGTATTTAGGGTAGAGTAAATGCTGTGTAAGGGCTTTGTTGTTGTTATTGCTACTGTTGCCTCCACTCCACATCGTATATAGATATAGATAGTAGTGTAGATACATAGTAGTATAGATACTACTCCACAGTATCTATAATTTATGTAAAGACTAGTGAAGCTGGGTAAAAGAAATTCTATTTGGTAGTTGGAAATTTGATCCCTCCTCACAACCTGATGATAGGAAGACAGTAATGCCATTGATTTTGAATACTACCCTGTGTACCGATCCTTTTCTATGCTTCTCTTATCCCCAAAGCCAGCCCCTACCCTTAGCACCTCTTAGGATTTCTTTACTGTTTTATAAGGGGAGAGGCACGCGTTTTACATGTTCAGGAAGAACAGTGGAACTGAAGACAGAATCAATGCAAAATACAAGGGAAACAAGACTGGAGGATCAGAGAATCAAGATCCAAAGAAAAATGTTTACTTTGGCAGAAATATCTAGGAAATGTATTGACTGCGGGTCTGATTTCAAGTTCACATACTGAATCTCAACATGTTTACATATTTACAGATGTAAGTAAATTGATGCACCAGAAGGGGCTAGGAAACACTGGATATCCCCGAATGGAGGGGGCTGTGCTGCCAGTCTGTGTTGTCCGTGGGGGACTCGGCATATCCTTCCACCTGAAGCGGGCGCTCAAGGACTCCCTGTCCCCAAAGGGCTTCCGGTCAAGCTCACGACATACCACACATAATACTTAGAGAACATTCAGCCTTAAGTATTTTTATTTATTTATACTCTGCTCTTTTCCTAAAAGGGTTTGAGGAAACAAATCCAATTGTGTATTACCCAAATAAGTACTAAATTATCCAGGATAGACCAGCATTATGAAAGTGCAAAATGAAAGAAGAGCCCAATTGGCAGAGTGAGAGGAGAGAGAGATTTCAACCAGCGCCTAGAGGAATGGGTGATGAGTGACAAATCAGAGGAAGGAAATAGATTGGCAATGGAAGACGCGAAGGGCTTCATAGAATGGATGTTTTCTTTTTTCATTGCTATGGAATTTCAGAACTGGAAGCACATTTGTGGTTGATTAGCAAACTGAGTCATGGGAGAGCTTGAGAAACATCTCAACATATAGCACATTAGTTGCAGCTCTGTTAAGAGACCCAGGTTCCCTCTCCTTGACAAGGTGTCTTTTCTTTATATCATCCTGACTATGTTATTTTGAATTTCGGATGGCAATTGGATATTTTGAGAAACACTAGCAATTGAATGGGAATAAATAACCTAGAATTCCTCATACCATCTAACCTTTATGAGTCTTTCATGCAGTTGAGTACCTGGACGAATGTCTAGGCAGTCTGTGTGGTAATTAAGAACTCAGAACCCAGAGGCAAAATCCTTGGGTTTGAATCCTGGCTCTGCTATTCACGAGCTGCTCCATTTTCTTCATCTGTCAAATACTGTTGGGATAAGAAACTAATGAGGTTATATAGAAAAAAATATCTGCAACATAGGAAGCTTTCAAAAAATGCTAACTGGTATCTGTCTAATGAATAGAAATCAGAAACTTTAGTACTTTTTGAAGACTTGATGTATTTACATGATTCAGTAGCAACCATACATATTTCTTTCACACCGCGTTCTAATAAATCGTTGACTTTTGTCCACAGGTAAAATCATCTGTTGGAGTTATTCCATTATCCTCATCCTGTGGAGATCTTGATTTGGAAATTCTTGACAAAATCTACAGTGTCTGACTTACTATCAATGTTACCAACTGAAGGTAAAAGCTAATTTTATTCATTTAAATAGGAATTACTAACTATTGAAGCATGGAAATTAAAAATGATTGATGTGTCTTGAGATCTAGAACACATCAAATAGACTTCTGATATCTTAATGTTGAAAAAAATTATGAAAACCAATAAAATTGCAATGAATAAGGAAAAAACTTGTTTTCCCTTTAGGTTATGAAAAGCGTCATAAAAATCATCTTCATATCAATTTTTGAGTTCTGCAATACCTAGTTGTTGAAATAATATTGTAAAATAAGAGGAAATGACAAATGCCAAGAAGCAGCTTGCTATGGGACTGAAGCAACTGATAAAGCAAATAGGAAAGACTAAAAAAGGATTCAGACATTGCTGAAAACAGCAGGAGGTGAGCTTTGAGCCCCTCACACTCTAGTCGAAGGATCCAGAAGGTTTGACAGAGGAGAAAATATCTTCTGAGACCTCCTGTTCATTTTGTGCCTAAGTATGTTGTTTTGTAGTTAAACCTGGATGTTGATTAAACAAACAAACAAAAAAGTGTGGGAAACTTCCAATAATCAACTTATTTTCCAGTCATTTCTCTCTCCTGTTCTCTGTAGAGGTTGTTCTAACCTTCCTTCCTTCCTTCATTTCCAACTTCCTACCCTGCCAACTTGCCGAAGAGAGACTTGAGACATCAACTCCCTCCCCTTCTGTCTCCACGCCCACCCAATTAAACTGCACTTACCCTCCGTGTCTTTGCCGTGAATGGGAGCCAAGCCACTCCCTCAGTCGCACTCATGCCTTCTTCCCATGCTCCAGAACCCACATCAGTACCCACTTCTCTTTACCATCTACCATTCCTGCTGCTTTCCCTTCATTCTGACCCCTTAATTCTGTTTTTCACCTGCTCACTCTTAAATCTTTTTTTCTGTCTTTTTGATTGAGATATAACTCATATGTCTTAAAATTCTCCATTTCGACCTATATAATTTAGGACTCTAGTATATTTACAAAGTGGCAAAACTATCACGGTGATCTAATTCCAGAATATTATTGTCGCCACAGAAACCAACCCCATCATACCCATTAGCAGTCTCTCTCCATTCCCCCTCCCCCCAGCCCCTGGCAGCTGCTAATCTGCCTTCTGTCTGCATGAATCTGATTATTCTGAAAATTTCATATAAATGGAACCATACAATCTTTGGCCTTTTGTGTCTGGCTTCTTTCACTTAGCATCATGTTTTTAAAGGTTTATCTGTGTTCATACATTTTTTTTAAGCATGTATCAATACTGCATTCTTCTTTCATGACTAAATTGTATTCGCTTTTGGAATGTACCACTTTTTATTTATCCATTTGTCAATTGATGGACATTTGAGTTGTTTCCACATTTTGCCTATTTTGAATAATACTGCTGTATATATTTGTGTACAAGTTTGTGTGGACATATGTTTTCAGTTCTCTTGGGTATACATCTAGGAGTGAAAATTGCTGGCTCGTAGGGTAATTCTATGCTTAACATTTTAAGCAACTGTCAAAATGTTTTTCAAAGTGCCTGCACCAGTTTATATTCCCACCAGTGAGATACGAGGGTTCCGATTTTTCCAGATCCCTCCCCAACACTTGTTACTATCAGTCTTTTTTATTACAGCCATCCTAGTGGATGCAAAGTGGTTACTTATGTTTTAGTCTCTTTCGGACATCTTATTTCTCAGAAACTCTCCTGAACATCCCCAATGCCTGCCCTCTTCGGATTGTGTTAAAAATGCCTCCTCTATATTTCCATAGCATCCTGTGCTTATCCTTGTAACATCCCTCATCACACTGAATTACAATTGTCTGTTAACTTTATCGCCTCCGTTAGAGTGTGAACGTGTTAGAGAGGGTACTAAAATGTCATTTCCTACGGTATCTCCCAGGATTAATACATGATGCCTGACACCATTTGCTCCTGTCTTTTTTGTAGGGGGAGGGGAAGGTGGATAGGAGACTTGTAGATTAGTATTCATAGTATTATTACCTGAGCCCCTGAACATCAGAATGGAAATCCTCATTGGTACTATTTGTTAGCTGATACTTAGTGGTCTGAGAAAGAAGCCAAGATTTTTTCAGCTTATATGTTTGGTTTTCTAGAATATTACTTTTTCTTTACTATTGTACTAATGCAATCTAGTCCCTCGGTTTACCAAGAAGTTGGAAGGAAAGAGCTAAGGATACCATACAATGTCACCATTAGGAGCAAACCGTTGAGTGACTTTAAAAATAAAAATCAACTAGCCATTTTTACTTGGACCTTTTTGGAAAATGTAACTGATGGAGAACTGTTTCTTTTTCAAAATATTACCAGTTACATATACTGGACTAAAAAAAATTCCAAATGTGGATGGAAGTCAAGGGAAGTGTCATGACATTGTGCACCTTCAAAACTAAAGGTCGGTCCCGATGGTGCTGAATTACAAGTATCGGAAATCTGAGGTTCCTTAGCACCAGGGTTGAACAGATGGGGATCAGGGCTGGGGAACAAAAGCTGAAAGTAGAATTAAACCTAATTAAAGACTTAAAAAAAGTTTGAATTAAAAAGTACATCCAACTTAGAGGTTGACTCATACTAAGTTATAACACCCTGTGTATAAGTACAGATTAAAGGACATTTTTAGTTAGTTCTTTTGAGCATTTCTCTCCAAAAATCTATTTGTCTTTAGAGTCGATATTTAGATAATTTTGTTTCTGGTTATTTATGATCCCATAAAGATTTGTTTTAGTGTTTGAGATTTTTCTTAGTTGAAATAAGGTTATGCTTGGACTAGATAGCCATTCCCTTATTTGATAATGTTTTCAGTGCATTCTTAGAAACTCTGTCCAGCTTCTTTGCTGTGATTTTTGTATGCTGCTGGAGTGAAGAGGAAATGGGGGAGGGAAAGAGGGAGACATAAATGTAAGTTGGACCCAGATCAGTGAGATAGCATCAAACGAGGCCAAAATGAAGTTGGCAGATGCTCTTCTCATGTTTCCCACTCGACTGCACACATATTGTTACTTGGAATACCACTTGCATTTCTTTCATACTTCTAAGATTTTTCTTCAGCTTCGCTAACAAACTTTAACTTCAAATAGGAGCCAGGAATGAACATTGAGTTTTTTTTTTTAACGTGTGAATGTGCTTAAAATGGATATTTTGCTATTAAGGTTTAGTTAGTAAATAATATAGGAGATGCTTTTTAAGATAGAAATGACAGTGTGGAGCCGCAAAGATAGAGCAAGGTGTATCATCTTAGAGGTAGCTAGATCTGAGTTTGAATCCTCATTTTACCACTGAATACTTTCATGACTTCTGAAAATTAGTTTGTCTGGCTTTCCTTATATATGTAAAATGGGCATATTAATTTTTACTTTATAACATTGCTGTGATAGTAAATGAATTTAATGACACAGAAGGTGCTCAATAAATGGTTTGTCTTATATACTGGAAAAATGTGGCTCAATAATTCTTAGGAAAAAAAGTAAATTTTGTCGAACATTCTCTTTAATGTTAGCTAGACATTTTATTCTCATGATGTTCACTTTAGATATAAATGGTAAGTCTGTTTCCCTGGTTCCTGTATATAAACATGGTAGACAAAGATAAAAAAGGAAAAACCTTGAGTGTGGGAGTACTGGATAGTACTTATATTTTTGTATAGACAAAATAGTATGGTACCATGTGGTAATACGTAGTTAATGAAAGTTTATTGAAGTTGAATGGGAGTGGAAGAGATTCAATATTACTTTATTTCTTGTGGTATTTAGGTCACTGCAGACAGCTGAGAATTAGCCTTTTAAAATATATATATATCTCCCCAAAGGAAGAGGAGGCTAGGTAACCTTCCAAAAAGTTCATTCCTATTATTAAAATAAAAACAACAAAACTTTTTATTTTAAAATAATTTTAGGTTGCAAAACAATGCAAAAATAAGAGTTCCCATGTACCCTTCCCCCCCAGGATAATATCTCAGTAACTGTAGTACAGTGATCAAAACCAGGAGATTGTCATTGGTAGTTTACACCTCCAGAGCTCAACCCATTCTAGTCTGTTTAAATGGAGGAAATTCTTTTCTGTGTCTCACTTAATTGATTTTCATTTAAGTATACTTTTTGAGAGTCAGTAAGCTTAATGAAAAGACATTTTGAAGTGAGAATGCCTTGGGTTAGATCTTGGCTCTGCCACTTACTTATTCCTGTGTGCCCCTGAGGACTTTTCTTAGCATCAATGATGGTCTGTTTCTTCGTCTATAAAAGGTATCATTTTATATAAAAGGTCTGCAAGAGATACCATTTACCTTGCAGAATTATTGTAAGGATTAGCAATAGTGAATTTTAAAGAGCCTTTTCAGTAAATGGTAGCTTCCAGTACTCCTGTTCTCTTGCTCTATTTTCATCAGACTTGCAAGTAGCTTGTCATTTTCTTTAATGTGGTATGTGTTTTTTTGCACTTTGTGAACACCTATGAGTTAAGGATCAGTAACTGGCAAATATACTACAAATTCGTGCTTCTTGTGTGTTCATCTCTTTTTAATGCACCTGCTATAGCCTCTTGGCTTTGCTCCCTTTCCTCCATCTTACCTGCACAGTCAGCTCTTCTCTCTCTTTTTATGCCCGATAGGCCACAAGTCATTCCTCTGCTCGTATGAACTGTATTGCTTCTCCAGGTGCGTTTTGTCCTGTGGATTCCATGGAGCCTAGTTATTTTTAGATTTTTGTTTGTTTTATTTTAAATAACATCTCTTCTAACTTAATTCTGTTTGATAAGTAGTTGATTATAGCCTGCTTCAAGCCCAAGCTCCTAGAGCCAGCCGCAGGACATCCCTACACAAGTTGCCCTCCAGGGAACGTTGATTCCAGGGCTGTGATGGGGCTTTAGAACGCTGCTGCCTCCATGGCTGCAGAGAGGGATGAGGTGTTCTATTTCTAAACCTGTCGACACATTCTCGTCTCTCTACTTGGGTGGAGCTGCAAAGGTAGAAACACAGTTCTGTGCTCCACTCTTTATTGT